TTCTTGGTACCATGTACTGCTTTGTTCACTTGAGCATTCAAGAGTTTATTGCAGCCCTTTATGCACATCTGTTTCTAGACATCAACAAGAAAAGTGTGTTTGGTTATGACCCAACTATGACTGATTTTCTCAAGACTGCCATGGACAATGCACTTAAGAGTACCAATGGACACCAGGACCCTTTCCTTCACTTGCTTTTTGTTCTGCTACTCCAGCCCAAATCCCCAAAAAACATGATTGATTTGCTCAAGACTGCAGTGGACAAGGCACTCGAGAGTGACAATGGACACCTGGACCTTTTCCTTCGCTTCCTTCTTGGTCTGTCACTCCAGTCCAATCGGCTACTCTTACGAGGTCTGTTGACACAGCAAGATGACAATGACCAGAGCAAAAAGGAAATAGTTCAGTACATCAAGCAGAAATTAGAAGCTAATCTGTCTCCAGAGAGATCCATCAATCTGTTCTACTGTCTGAATGAACTGAACGATCAAACTCTGGTGAAAGATATTCAGACTCACCTTAGCAAAGGAAGTCTGTCATCTTCTGATCTTTCTCCTGCCCAGTGGTCTGCTTTGACCTTTGTGTTGTTGACATCAGAGGAGGAGCTGGAGGAGTTTGAGCTTCAGAAATTCAAGAAGTCAGACGAGTGTCTTGTTAGATTATTATCAGTCATCAAAACCTCCAAAAGAGCTCTGTAAGTCATTTAATTAAATTTATTTAGCAGCTTTTTAGATAACAGCAGCAGAAAAACAGTATAACATTTTTTTTATAAAACACTTTGTTCCATAGTTATTTTCGCTCCAATATGAAGTTATCTTAAACTTCCTATTTTAAGTCTAAGTCTATCAAGAACTTCTCAGTGTTCTAATCATTAACCTCCATATTCTCCACCTCAAGACACTAAAGACAGTGGAGTGCTTTCAAATGTGTAGCTCATTGTCAGTAAAGCTATAAACCTTAAAATGGTATTCCTGCTTGTTTGATGTAGCAAATGTATCACTTAATCAAAAATACTAATGATGTTGTAGGTACAATGCCAATGTAGCCATCCTCACAATATTTTTTACTGTTCAAGTAAGAGTAATAGTTTGAAAATACATTTAATATTTGTA